AAAGAACTTCAATAAATTTTTTGCCAATTCTCATCACTCTAAAAACACTCATTGAACATCTAAAGAAATTTAAGAAAACATACAATATTTAACGAAACTTAGGACGAACTTCTACGGAAGTAGAAACTCAATGGATTTGATCGCGGTCTTTCATTTAGAATGTTATTATTTAAGAACAGTGTAGGTTTATAAAAAAAAAAATATTGTTTAGCTTAAAGTAAACCTTAGATTTCCAAAAACATTATTCAATTGGTAGAATAGTAAAAAAATAAGTTTGCCCGTCCAAACCAATACAGCCTTTGTCACTTTGTCACAGCTTCAGCAAGAACGACTATGGTACACCGGGATTATCACACTCATACTTGTTCTTTTATAAAGGATTTCCCAAAATTTTTCCGTCTTCATTTTATATGTATATATACATATAAGAATTTAGGGAGTCGAATATAAATACATACATATGTACTCGACAACCTGCCTAAAAGGTTTTATAAAAATTAACCGCTAAATAAATCAGCTAATGCGTATATTAATAGGAAAACTAACAACTGTTGTTGTATTTGAGAAATAGCCTTCCCTTTGTCGAAGTGCCATATTTTAGAGCAACCAAATCAACATTTCGTCTGTTTTAAGGGCGATTCTTGCACTTGATAAATCTATTTAAATATATATATATATGTAATGAATTTATATTTTTTCAGCCAGATTTTCTATTACGTCAACCTAATACTCCGTTTCCACGACCAAAGTTTCGTAACAAGAAATTTCCATTAATTATAAAAAATTTTAGGTATTGCCTCCTGTGTATATTGTTTTGCATTCAGAACTTCATTAATCCGGAAAGGATTAAGTCCATTTCCAATAGCGTAATGCAGGGTTGTATATCTTTTAACGCCAGTATTTGAAGTTTTCAAGGTTTTCAAAAAACTTAACATTTCAAAACTTATAGTAAATATAAACGAAAGATATATGTAAACATAAAACACTTTTATTCAGAGACGAAGGCAATTCAAACTGCGTGAAAAAATAAATAAACAAAATGTAAATTCACTTACATAACGAGGGATTTATAGTTGTATATGAATACATTGCGTGAAAGAATTGTGTATCTAAGACACTGATTTCGAAATCTTTTACTGGAAACTCATTAATTTACGTTTTTCATCAGCCTAAATAGACTTATGTCGAATCGTTTTCAAAGGGCGAAAATTTTGGATTTCGAAAAAATTTCGACAAGCCATAAACAATTGGTATTTAATTGGTTTGGTTGAGAACATTGATGAGTTTTACGTGAGAAATGCAAACATATTTTCGATTATTTACAGTAGCTATTATTGCTGTTGACAGCTAATACATGTAGCAGAAAGTAAAACTATAAGCACATGCTTCTAAAATCTTTGGAGGGAAGTAAAACAAGCATTAGTACATTTTCATGTATTTCAAAAATAAAATTTTCAACCAGAGACTCGCGCTTGACGCTTACGTTTGGACAGAACGCCTTCCTCGAGGAGTTCGAGTGTGCGTGTGTATATGTATGGTATGTACGCAGAACTTGCTGCTTGACACTGACAGTCATAACTCAAGTATTTAACGGCTCGCAACACCAAATTCAACACGTAAATACCATATTTGTTTTAAAAATAGACAATGCGATGTGTAGAAGGGAAAGCAAATGGCTTCAAAGAACCGAATCTCGGAAATTGTTAGAAAACCACTGACAAACACTTAAGCATCGTTGACCCAAATTTTCGCGCCTCCATAAAATATATATAGCGCTATGGTAGTGACTTCAGCTACAAACATAAGTACATACTTATGTATGTAGATAATTCTGTATGTGCTTGCAGTAGCATTATAGAAATGTTCGGCTGAATTAAAAAATGTATGTATAAATGAGCGAATATCTATTCTAATAATCTTTGAATGCTATATTATTCTTATATTTTGTCATTTTTTGTCTTCAGATGTTGCCAGCTGCTCACAGCCAAATAAATTCACTTTCGAAGTGACGCGGTGACAAGATCTTCAAGAGGCTGTGTAGAGTCAGCGGCGTCTCCAATGAATCATGAAATTATTCGCCTCCACACATCTATTTATTATGTAAATATGTGTTCATAAAAATTGTACTATTATGCACGTGTTGAAAATTGCGCCTTGTAAAAGTTGTAGTTAGAAAATTCGAGGCTGTTAAAATAAATTTAAATTGTTATGTATTCGGAGTAATGTGCAAATGTATAAAGACATTATACATATGTATGTATCTATGTACGTGTATTGGATACAGCAAGATTTTTGGAGCACTACTATCTTTAAAATCGCTAATGGAAATTTTAGTTTTATCGATATGTGCGTATATGCCTCGATACGGTTCGTTCGAGTTCAAAAATGCATTAGGCGAAAGTTAGTTAAATGACTTTACAGTTAAAGAATAAAAAATTAAAGAAAAGCTATTATTTCAAATGTAATATTTTTAAATATTTATTTTTTTCAGCCAGTTTTCTGATCAACTACCACGTAGCTTCAATTCCCTCGCCACGACGGTCACATCTACAAAATTCTTCATAAAATTGTAAAATAAATACATACTGAACTCAGCTGGTCTGGAATGTGTGGGTGTTGCATAGTGTCACCGCCAACAACAACCAAATTGTCGATATGTATGTGAAGCAAAACAAGTCAACTTAAGCAGCAAACAGTGGCAGGGTATGTGAAGTGAATGTGCTCTACTCCAAAAAAACAAATATGTTCATAAAGGTGTAAAGCTTATGGTACATCGCTCTGAGATATCAATGCTACAATCACTGTGCTATATTACTAAAACATGTTATTATATTTTAGGTATATGAAATATGTTTTTTGCAGTTACCTACTCATTTTCGAAGTCACAATTGTTTTGTGTCGTCGCACTTGTTTCTTTTGCCCAAATAAGGCGTTCGGTCTTTCGTTAACAAAGCATTTTGCATATTCAATTAATTTTTCCTACGCTTCTCCACATCATTCAGTATGTTTGGTAATCTGGGGAACCTCAAATACTTACTAAGCGTATGTATGTATGCACTACAGACACAGAGGCTTTCGCGCCTGAAAGTATCAATATTTTGGAAACTAGTGCTGAGCCTGGCAAAAAACAAAGATACATACATACTTGTATGTATGTACATACATACTCCGAATGGCAAACATAAAAATTTGAGTAAATGAAAATTAAAACTAATTGACCTCATTCGAAGCGCCGGCAATGCGATGTCAAGTGAACTCGCAAATTCACTTAATTAGTTCGGTTCACACCATCAGCAAAATGATTAAATATAACTACAAATATCTATTGTATGTACATATATATAATTGAAAACATGTTGATATGCATATACATATGTGTGTACATATATACAATAATTAATATAATTTATTTTGTTAGAAAAATGTTGAAAGTCGGCACTTTGTCTAATCGTTTCGCCAAAAGAATTATCACACCGTGTGCCTCCTCCAAGTGCCAGCAGCCATTATCGCTGCAATCGCGGCCCTGCATGCACTGTGTTTGTCTTTTGTCATTTCACACGTTACCCTCATCGATGACTGCTTGTAATCTTGCTACAATGTTGCAGCTGTATTTTTTGTTGCAAAACACTTGGCGAGGAACCGAAGCCCAAAGTGTTAGAAAATACTTGAAACTAATAAACAAATGAGAGTTTGAAAGTTCTAGCGGTACATTGACTCCCTTCCTTGGAAATTTGTTGACACAGATTATCATATTTTATAAATATCTTATGTACATACACATATGATTTGTTTAGATTTTACTGGCAAGTTCTGCAGTTCTTTTTTCTAACCAATAATTAATTGATAGAAACCTCTGAACAAAAGAGCTCTAAATGACTTGTTTGAATGGCTTTTATCGAGGAAACTCAGATTTAGAACAAACAGTCAATTAAAATAACAATTGTAACCACTAAGACCCTAAAGAAATTCTCCTAGAAGTTCTTGTCTTAGTGTAAATAAATTTACTTGGAAAGGCTGATGAGACAATTGTCTTTGAAATATTTTATAATAGTAAAATATTTAAGTATGAGTTGAAAAGCCTTTCGATTAAACAAGAATGCCGCCGTAAATAGTTTAATGTTAGGATGGGTTCAGATTAGTTGAACAAAGTGAGATCTTTGATTTTTCGTTTCTTTGCTATTAAAGTAGTTGTGATGCTAAAAAGGATTTACTTTTCATAATGACCGTTCATATATCATGCCCATGGCTCTCCATATTTTTACGATGATTTTTAAAATCCGGCAAATATACATTTGCTAATATATTTAGAAGGAAAGTCGACATTAGTTATTTACGAAAAAACATCTTAGTATGTAAGTAAGTGAATGAATAATGTGTTCTATATTCGAAAGAGATAATGCCGGTCAGTGATTACAGTCATCGATCGTTTTGAAAGCGAAGAGCTGATCATAATTTTACAATTCACAGTTACTCGCGCAGACAGGCACATATTTATTTACATGCATGGCTCTTTAGAGTAGAATAAATGAGGAAGAGCACGAAACACTTTCAGTCAAATGTGCGATGGCGTGGGCGTATGAGTAATTTCCATTTTATTAAGATCATAAGCTCTCTTAAACGATCATAACCTTCGGCGATCGTCGTCCGCCATAACCAGGAGGGTTAGTGATTTTCGAAGTATAATATGTGCAATCGTGTGCGTACGCGCTGAGAGCGTACATCTATATACAACATCCATGAGGTTGTATTTAAAATGTCCCGTTATGCCCCAAATGATTGGTCCAATTGTATGTTGAGCGACATTTTCGCCAATTTTATGAATAATAAATGCAAAATACTATTTGTGACACTATCTACAAAGAGCTGAATGCGTGATGGGTATGGAAGGGAGATTAATTCAATTGAATGCACTGGAAAAAATTAGAAGCCGCGACATTACCATTTATATTGAAGTGGACGATCTACTTGTACATATACATACATATAACTAGCATACCTACCAAAACTTTTTGAATCCTTAGGCAAGTTACCGGTTTCACTCCAGCTCTGCGTTTTTCGAGCTGTTACAATCCACTCACTCTATATGGTTAAGGCACGGTATCAAGCTTCACTTTTAGTTCTTGACCTCTTCACTATTTTTAATCACTTCAAGTTTATGAGGTTTCTTTGTGAAATATCTCCTTTTTTGCCGAATTCATTTGTATGGCTTATGTCGCTAAGTTCGTAATATTTTATTTTGGAAGCAATTGTGCGGTATTTTTTACAGTGTACGAAGAATGATACGCGCACAGGCAATTTCTTTTAGTTTTTTTGATTCGTATTAATAACGGAAGTGACGTCACTATATAAATTTACTCAATTAGTCGCAATGTTCTGAATACATACTAACAGGATTCGCATTTCAAAGTCATATGTGCATATATATATATATATATATATATATACGTATGTATGTATGTATGTGTGATTTTCACTAATTAACTAAAGTATTATTTTTTCAATATATATATTTTTTATTGTGTGTCCTTTGTATTGCAGTTATTCGACTATTACACTCGATAACTGTTTATTAATTTTTTTCTTCGAGCACCCTTTATGCCGATATATATATAAATATATATAAATATATTTTAGGACAGTATTCACACTTTTCTCTGCAAAGGTGTTCGTAAAAATTTAGTGATTTGCTCATATATTGACATTTACTACAAAAACCGTTAGGCATAAAACTTTTGTTTCGATTTAAGGCAATGACTTAATGTTACTGTGGTCGTTTAGTTTATTGAACTTCTCTTCAATACGTTGCAGTTTATTATTAATTAATGAACTTCTGACTATTTTAGATTCGTCGTCTGTTTTTACAAAGGAGATTACCGTAGCCTAGTCGTTTATATTAGTCGATTTTTCTTTAATTAAAATTAAGCTAATGGCATTTGCGGAAATGCTAACGATTTTTTCGTAGAATTTTCCTTGGCCAATGTGAGATCTTTCGTTTCGGTCGGACACCGATTGACTAACGCAGCCGGTCGAGCTTTGCACGCTTGCTGCTTAGTGTCCGCAACTTTTCAGCGTCATCGAAAACGCTTTTGCTTTTTACCTTGTCCTCGCAGCGTTGCCCCGCGGCTCTACAGTCAACAGTCAATGATGGTTGTTGCTATCGGTTTGCTTTGCCAATTGCTAGCTGCAGACAACGAGCGAGACGCATATGAAACGATAAGCGAACCATTGAACGCAAAGCTCAAATAGTTGAAGTTCTCAATATGCTTGGTGGATGGTAGTAAGATATACATATGTGTATGTAAGTATACTCGTATACAAACTTGCTGAACATAGACGCTTACTAAACAAAAGCAAAGCTTTCCGGCGTATCGCCGAAATTCTTACGCTTTCCTAGACGAATGTTTAGTCACGAGCCCACTGATCCCTCCAATGCGGTATGTTAACCATGTACTAAAATATATATATGTGTGTTTATGTATGTATCTGTGTGTGTAACACAAAGCAGCACTAGAATTTTCATAGCAAACCGATTTTTGTTGGTATTTTCCCTGCATTTCCATATTGACCGCGGCCAGCGAAGTGGTCGTTCGTGCGCGGCGAAATTTATTTCGTTTTTTGTTTGTTTACTTTCTTCCCTTCGTGTTCCTTCCATTTTTGTTTTGTTTATACTAATTTTTTCAGGTGTGCTAACGTACAGTTAAAATTTTTATGGCTCCTGGTAGAACTATTTATGGTTGTCTATTCATGAGTTTCTGTTATTTTGGGAACTGCTCGCGCAACGTTCCCGACGAACGACGAAAACGAAATTTACATCGAATGTTTTTCAAGGATTTTGTCTACTTCTAAATTCTCCATGGCTCTAGGAGTCTAGAAGTTACCCATACAAAAATATTTCACCAACGTGTTCAAATAACTTCATGTCGTATCATCCACACGTGGTGAGATTGTAAGGAGATTTGGTGACTAAAGATAAAAAAGTTAAAAATAATAATGCCGAAAGAAGATCCATATACATAAATACAAGTATGTCACAATTAAAATTTGATTTTTAACTATACAGTTGTAAAGACATTTTCAAGGAAATGATAGAGATAAGTTCTCTGAAATTTCTCTCTTACTATAGAGCATAAGAAATAATTGTAAAACTTTGACGCTTCATTTTTACCAAATGTATATACAACAGAACCTATAACTTGAACGCTACCTTATGTAGGTAAACATGATTATGAACACAATTCACCGATATTCATTTAAATATTTTAAATCAAGCTACCAGTTCTAGCCAATTGTGACCACCAAAATGTGTCCATATTTCACCACTTTCTTCAATTTTGAGGAATACCACAACATACATACATAGGTGGTGGGAAGTATTACATCACCGATTATAAAGTCAATTCCGGGCATACATTACACCAATATGCGCTCCAGAAAATTACAAAATCGCTCCTGATATTTCCTGAAGAACACTTACATGATGAGGCCTATACTCTACATATATTAACACCTTCATCGACTCCCAATAGCTGAAAGGCGTCCTCTCGAAACGAAAGTGACCTACTGCAGTTGGCAAAACTCCTAATTATCCCCGATTAACTCTGACATACTGAACTTATGTCGTGCGCGGATGTAAAGGGACCCTGCACAACACTAACACATTCTTTGCAAGCCCTACTGAGCTACCAACCTTCCCCTATGGTCGAAACAGCTTCTGGACCTCCGTAGGATGTTTTCGCTGACAATTTTTTTTCACACAAACAGGGTTTAAATACACCGTTTCAATAGCAACAGAGTTCGACAGGGTCTATAATTATATACATATATATGAATATAAGCATCAGTTGTGCCAACTAGCAAAATTACGCTTGCACCTAAAATTTATTGGCGTCTAACACTTTGCGCACATAAAACGCAACAACAATTCTGGGCAGACAAACAATTTACGCTCAAAAACTTGAAAATCGTCTAAAAATGTAAAGCTACGGCACCGGCGCTACAGTGTTGTTGGAAATTGTGAAAACACGGAACTGGGTTAAATGCCGGTGCAAAAACAAAATTCAAATTGAAAAGCTAAAAACATACACGAATGGGAACACCCATGGCGGACGGACTCTATGAAAATATGCAATAGAGATAATGTGCGTTTGAATGCATGCTTGTGCATATTTGTGCCAAAATGTGGACTAACTGGCGATGTCTGGCAAGTGTCTTCCCACTCAAGACTTTACTCTAGTGTGGTTTAGATATTCAGAAATTCCGCATTATTCCGGCAACATTTTTCGAGTTACATGAATTATTTGCAGAAAAGTGTATTCGATTGCAAAACTTCTTTCAGCTTAAATCTAATTCTCGACTTAGGCTAACATTAGCATACTTACACAAATGCTTTTTCGTTGCTACTTTTGGTTCAGAACTCGTGCTTTACTTGTTCACTTGTTGCTGGTTTGCAGTCTTTTTTTCTCTCTCACTCTATTTTATATGCACTCATGTTTTAATGTACATATGCTTCGAAAATTTTTAATATTTGTACCGTTATATAAGCTTCTTGCACATGAATGGAATACGTCTATTTCGAACATAAAATGCACTGCTGCTAAGCTTTTACACACACGACACCGCTTCATTCACGCAAAACTTAATTCCCCAAACGCATTAATGTTCCCGACCTTACCGCTAAAGCACATTCGAGGTACTGAGACAACTTGTTCAAAAACTTAACCAATTCAAAACATCATTTGGCACTTATCACTAATCCCTTTGGGTGTATTGGAGTGTGTGCTGAATCCAATTTTAGTACAAATTCATTCAGTTATACTCACAGTCTGCCTGATTTGATGCAAATATATCTTTAAAACTATTTTAAGGATGATTTGCTTATCTCAAGTCCTTTATTTTCTTTTCGATTGCATCTAAATTTCCAATTCAATATTACGGAATTAGATTTAGAATTTCAGTTATCTGAAATGTTATAATTTTTTTTTTATTGTAAATTTTTTCTTATTTTCCCTCCGTGTACTTTTCGCGTTTCTCGTTTCGATTCTCCTCATTCCCAATAACAACTGACTCGTTCAAGTTGTGTGGGCAAACTAAAATCAAACTGAAGATGCCCATGTCCACTGTGTCAACTCCTCGTCCTCCTCTCTTCAATTCAACACCAAGAATGTTATTCTGCGTCCCCAAACTGCGCCCCACAAAAAAATGCAACCCAACGAAATGAAAATATACGTGCGCACATACACAGATGTGCATACGTACGTAATTTTTTATAAAAATTCGTTGAAGCTGTCAAAGGTGCGTGTGAATGTGTGATCCTTGGATATGCGTTTGCTCTTCCGTCTCGTTTATTTGTTCGTAGAAATTGTTGCAGCTAAAAATAGTGTTACGCATACGACACGTTGAACGCATTCGGACGCAAGCAGCGTACTGGGGGTCTTGCTGTGAACCATAAACACATACGCACTGGTGGGCAAAGCATACAGCAGCCCATTAAGGCCTTTGCTTCTGGCTATTGTGCTCATCGACAAATGCAGTTCCACGTGGAAGAAAAACAAATGCAAATACTTAATTTGTATTTAAATATCCTTAACGTAAGCAATCTTCCTTATCCAAGTAAAAATTTGCATTAAACAACATAAGACAACATCAAAGAGGAAGGAGACTAACTCTAAAATATTTTGCGGAGATTCCTAATATACATACCCACTTAATTATGCGTTCTTCTCCCGATATCAGTAACTTGGCCGGGAGTATGTGCGATCTGTAGGTAGTTTATTAATACATTACACCAAAGACTTTTAAGTATTTGTTAAATTTTATTAAAATAAAGAAGAAACATTTTGGTTGTAAGGTTAATTTCAATAACATAACCCCGTTAATGTAAAAAGTTGATAGAGTGGACTTCACCGGCGAACCTGCCTCGAACTGTACTATCGGCCGGATTGGTCAAGGCCTAAGGTTCATATATAATATATTAGACCAATTCGATGCCGAGATGTAGAAAAAGACCCCATTTGGCGAGCAAACAGTACTCTTTCCCCATAGCAAGATATCAGCTCACATCTTCGCCGTCGCCATGACCAACATGATCAAACTGGGCTGCGGACTGCTGCCTCATCCACCGTATGACTTCTTTTCGTTTCCAAACGTGAAAAAGTTATTCACTGAGTAGAAATTTCAGTTGTTATTGTAGCGAGTACATAAACCCTGTTTGGGGAAAATGCAAAATAAATTTCCTTCCGGCCAAGGACTGTCAACTCGGCAGAACTCTGCCGCTACAACAACAGCAACAACGAGGCCGGACCATAACGAAAATTGTAGGCTAAGGCTTACCCTCGTATAATGCCTGGCGCTGCAATAGAATTCCAACAATCAATTCGCGGTGGTTATTAAAAAATATAATAAAGATTTGTACCGTTAGAAAAAATAAGATTTAATTAACATGAATTATGGAATCGGGGTATTTGCATCAACCAACGACTTTATTTTATCCGGTCAGCACATCTTCATACACATCACATAGTTTTCGCCTTGCTTGGACTGCATTTTTGATTTGATAGTAAAACAGTATATAATGCCGAAAATGCTGTTCCTTCTTCCATCTTCGATAGGGCACCAAACAAAAATTATTCCAAAAATAAGTTATTTAAATATATAACGGTAAATCGGTTAAGTGTGAAATTGGCGGCAAAAAAAATCAATAAGATCAGCTGTTGTCATCAAACATTAATATCTTTTAATTTGTATATAAATGCAACTGTGTATATTTTAAAACCAAAGCGTTGGTAGCTCTGTTCCTTAACAAGCAGATACAGCTGTCCCTTTTCCTCAACACACACTTTTTCAGCTGTCAAAAATTTTGTTACTCATCGCAATCGTTGAAGTTATATTCGCCGCGTGAGAAAACCGCTGTTGCTAATTTAATAAATATTTTTTTAACCATTCACTGTATTAACATCCAATTAATTAAATATGGTAAGCAAATGAATAAATTATTATCATGTGAAAATTTGCATATGTAGGTAATGTGCGTAGTTGTCGATACATCATGAGACCAATCTAAAGAAGGCAATGTTGAATACACCAGGGCTTCAAACACATAACGCTATTGTTTGAAATATATTTAATAACGTTTTGATGAATATTGAAGAATATTTTATCATATTTTAAGTGCTTACATTACTTACAGTAATTAAAACATGTAA